AAAAAAAAAAACTATGAAAAAGAAAGAGACAAAGAATTACTCCAGCAGTCTTATTTGAAACCTATGCCCTAACCTGGATATCGGGGAAAGAAATTTTTTTCAGAGAAAAGGAGAATTATGTGGACAGAATACAGGGCATTTTACAAGTCGGATTGAAGGAGAACAGTATAGCCTCGCATCCTGTTGCAAACCAGGTGCAGACAAAGAAGCTCATATAGTGAACACAGATCTGGGTAATCTACTCCCCTGGGGTCTAGGGGGAAGCTCTGCACAAGTATAAATTAGATAGGAAACTAGGAACAGGTATTACTATTAGTAACTTGTGCAGATTGTAGTTTGCCACATATAATAGAAAATGACTAACATAGTCCTGTTAGTTGGTGTGTGTGTGATCTGGACAGCAAACAGCTGGAGTGGGTTGGGACAGGATGGGGAGGAAAACACTTGATCCTTTCCATACTACGGGAAGCCGAGCAAGCCTGGAAAGGTTCCCTTTGGGAGCAGAACACTAGGTTGAATTCTCACAATAACTTATTGTGAAATAAGATTCTGTTTTACCCATAACTGAGGCTTACACAAATTGCAAAGTGTTTCCCTTATATCTTTTAGCAGTGAAGTGTAGGCTGAGCTGAGGTCATTTGATTACAATTCTAAAATCATACAAGTCCCATTAGGAAAGTCCAGAGGGAAAGCCTGTGGGAAAACCCATGAATCAGTCAGCTAATTCAGTAACCATTAGAGCATTTAATCCGCTGCTAGGGATTATTGAGGAGTAATGATGTCAGTTTAAGGATTAAGGTGCATCTGATTCAGGCCATGGTCTTTCCAGTCACTTGCTATGTATCAGAGAGCTGTACAGTGAATAAGGATGACAGAAGACGAATGAACGCCTTTAAGTTGTGCTGTTAGAGAAGAGCCTTGAACATCCCATAGACAACCAAAAGAACAAACAAATACATCTTGGAGAGAGTGCAGCCAGAGTGCTCTTTGGAGGCAAGAATGGTGAAGCTTCACCTCCCATACTTTGGGAATGTGGCTAGGCGGGGCTATTTCTTGAAGAGGGACATGATGCTCAGAAAGTTAGAGGGAAAGGAGAAGAAGACCCTTGACAGGTCAACTGATACAGTGACTGCCCACAAGGGACTCTAAGTGTCAGAAAGTATGAGGATGGCACAGGATAGAACAGGGTTCAGATCTGTTATTCATAGGTTTGCTATGGGGTCGTACTCAGCCCAGTGGCACTTAAGAACAACCGTCCATTGCTGTAGATTTGATTCTGGCTGTAGTAACCCTCTGAGTTTTCAAGACTGTATATCTTTATGGGAGACTTCCCATCTTTATCCCACAGATCACCTGGTAGATTAAGCCACTAGCTTCTTGTTTAGCAGTACAACACATAATTTACCACGGCACCAGAGCTCCATGTTAGAGCATCTACTTGGTAATCTTTCTCCATACAAATTCAGTATGTTAGCTGAGCAGATAATCAGAGTAATTGATTCTATGAAGAAAAAATGTAGCATCAGGAGTGGAGGAAGACTTACAGACAATGTAAGCTAAGCAGATAACACTTCTTTGCTTGCTTAAATTTAACACATTGCTGCAAATGACAACTATAAATGTGTTTCTAAGTGTTTCTAAGCATGGTCTCAATTTAAAAGTGTGTGGCAACGTGTTAAATTTTTTAATTTCACTTTAGTGAAATTTTAATCTAGTAATAAGGAAGAAATAGAATGGCTGCAGAAGGCAGTTTCTAGTCACCAGTGCATAGAATAGCAGCAGCAGCGTTGCTGAAGCTTTTTAAGCACTTACTACATTCCCCTCTCTAGCATATTGTCATTAACTTTTTACTGTTTGTTTTTTAGGAGTAACAAATTCCTGTGTAAGAGATAATTACAGGCCTTCATTCATTAAGGATAATGAGCTAAGACACTTAATCCTTAAGGTAGGTAGAGCAATATATTTGTTAAAGTTGCATTTTTCTTTTTATTTTTCTTTAAATGAAAGACAGATTTTCTTTCATTTGCTTCTTATAATAAACAGATATGACTCTTCCTTAAAACCCAGTTGTAGCCATACCTTATTAGTGTGCATCAATCAAAGTAGAAGCAGAAGATAGGCACTTTGCAAAATATGAAACAAAGCTTGTCTTTAATGCTAACCTCCTTCTCTGCCTAATGGACTCATCTCTTTTTTTTTTTTCAATTTAGGTTGTTTCTTTTTCATTTCAATGAACATCTACAGAGATTTTGGAATTCCATTCATTCATTGTTGCACCCTTCTCCCCGCACAACCCCCCCCCATTTGCTCCTCTCCTTGAAAAGCAAAAGAAAAACCTCCCTCTTACATTGTGGGATTTCTCCTACCCTGTTGTCACTCTTTCAAAACCCTTCAGGATCCTTTCTACATATTTACTTAGTAGTTAGTTGATGCTTTTCTATTTCTGCATCAATTCATATGTGTAGCTTTTCTGACACACCAATATAAACATTTATTCAACATAGAAAATATGATTATATAATTGGAACAAATAGTTCCTAGGAATTGATACTTGCTTGTTCACATCTGAGGTGCCATCAAGTCACATATGACTCATAGCAACCCTTTGATCAAGAAATCTGAACCCTCTACCATCCTATGGCATCCTCATCATGTCTGACTTGAGCCCATGGCTGCAATAATATGTCAGTTTGTCTGGTTGAGAGACTTCCTCTCTTTCGTAGACACTCCACCTTTATAAGCATGATATACCTCTCCAAGGAATACTTTCCTAGCAACATGCCCGAACTCTCTTGAGACAAAGCTTTGTCATCTTTACCTCCCAGGAGCCCTCTGCCTGTACTTTGTTTAAGACATATGTCTTTGTTGTTTTGGCAGTCCATGGGATATTTGGTACTCTTCTGCAACACAGCTCAAACCCATGATGTCAGTTTGATGATTAAGGATTCTTTGTCCTCCTTAGTTATTGTGCAACTCTCACATGCTAAAAAACAATTGATGTGACCATGCATGGCATGAATCAGGCGCCTCTTATTCTCCAAATTTTTCAATGCTCTTGATTTAGAATTTTGCTGATATTGTAAACTTAGGAAAGTCACAAAAATGTCTTAATAATGCAGATGAAATATTAAAATAGATCACATTCTAAGTCTTGCATATAAATAACAAAACATTTTTTTAAAAATTATTTTATATTGGTTTATTTATAAAATTCATATACATTGTTTTCACACTGGATCTTTCCCATTTCTTTCACACCACAACCCATGCCTTTTTTATCTTACTTTTTTGTTTTATTATTAAAAAATCTTACTTTTAATCTGTTTGCTGTTATTATGTACCATTGAGTTAGAAATGACCTATAGTTGACACTCCAGCAGGGCAGTAAGTCACATGAGAGGAGATTGCCCATCCTTCTCTTGTGGAGCAGCTGGTGGATTAGAAATGCTTGCATTTGAGTTGGCGGTGCTGCTCCTTACACTAGGCTGTCAGGGCTTCCTTTGTACCTGTCTTAATTTTAAACCATGTAATGTTCCTTCACTCTGTTCAAACAACAGCATCTTGGTCTAGGGTAGATTTTTATAAGAGCACAATTAAGTGGGATTCCCATTCTTCTCATTGTTATCCACAACTTCTTATAATCACACAGTCAGATGCCTTTGCATAGTCAATAAACACAAATAGACATTCTTCTGGTATTCTCTACTTTCAGCCAGGATTCATCTGTCATCAGCAATGATATCCCTGGTGTCATGGCCTCTTTAAACCCAGCTTGAACTTCTAAATAGGTGATCTATGTGATAAAAATCCACAAAAGAAAAAAACAATAAGGCAACCAATTGAGCTATCTTAAAGTGGTTGAAACTTTGGTGGTGATTGATACAGTTTATCAGATTGTTGTTGTTATGTGCTGCTGGGTCACCTGCGGCTCATAGTGAACTTATGTACAACATTTCTGACTCCTGCTCTGTCCGGAGCCAGTCTCATGGATTCTGACACATTTACCCCCATTGTCCCAGTTACTGGATCAATTAATCTCAGCTGGGGTCTTCCTCTCCTGCGCTGTCCCTCCACCCCTCAGAGCATGAAATCCTTTACCAAGGATCAGTCCCTCTCGGCCACATGAGCCAAATATGTGAGGCTGAGCTTCAAAATCCTAGCCTCCAAGGAGAAACTTGGTTTCTCTCTCTCTAAGACAGACCTATTTGTTTTCTTGGTGGTCCATGGTATGTTCAAGACTCTTCTCCAGCACCACAACTCAAATGCAACAATTCTTATTCTGTTATCAGGTTGTTGTTTTATGCCATCAAGTCACCTGTTACTCTAGCAACCCTATATACAACAACCCTAAACCCTGTTTTGTCCTGTGCCAGTCTCACTGTCTCTGACACACCGACCCCCATTACCCCAGTTAGTGAATCAATTCTTCTCATCAAGGGTCTTCCTTTCTTGCACCGTCCCTCCATCCTCTCAAACATGATGTCCCTCTCCAAAGACTGGTCCCACCTTGCAACATGTCCAAAATATGTCAGACAAAGCTTCAGAATCCTTGCCTCCAAGGAGCAGCCTGGTCTCATCCTCTCTAAGATGAACCTGTTTGTTCTCCTAGCAGTCCAGAATTGTGTTGTATTGTATAATGGTTGATTTTGTAAAAATAGATAACTAATTCTTTCTTTTAAGGTACCTCTGTATGAGCTCAAATACACAACTTTCAGTTTGGAGCAATGTAAATCATTTACCTGACTTAGCGACTCCATATTATGTGTCAAATGCTGTGCTTAGGGAAGTGTTTCACCATACCTATTCAATCAGTGTGCTTGCTGAGCAAACCATTTGAGGAGGTGAATTGTATGGAGAAGAATATGGCATCAGGGTTGGCAGAAGACTTATCAACAGCCTGCATTGTGCAGATAACACTATCTTGCTTGCTGAAAGTGAAAAGACTTGAAACACTTACTGAAGAAGTTCAGGACTACAGCCTTCAGTATGATTACATCTCAGCATCAAGGAAACAGAAATCCTCACAAATGGACCACATGATACATGGAGAAAAGCTTGAAGTTGTCAGTGATTTAATTTTGCTTGGATTGACAGACAACACTGGTAGTAACAGCAGTCAGGAACTCAAATGACATATTTGTGTTGGGAAAATGTGTTCTCAAGGATGTCTTTAAAGTGCTAAAGTTCATGGATGTCATTTTAAAGACTATGATGTGCCTGGCCCAAACTGTGGTATTTTCAGTTGCTTTATATGATGTTAAAGTTGGACAAAAATAAGGAAGGCCATAGAATTGATGCCTTTGAATTGTGGTGTTTCAAAAAGTTGGATATCGCATGGACTGCCAAAAGAACAAACAGAGCTGTCTTAGAAATGCAACCAGGGTATTCTTTACTGACAAGAATGGTGAGATTTTATCTTATATGCTTTGAGCATGTTATCAGGAGATGCCAGAAATGGACATCATGTTGAAAAACTGGAGAGTCTGTGAAGAAGAGAATAAGAGAGGAAGACCTTCAAAGAGAGGATTGACACAAGGACTTAAGGCTTAAGCACTTCAGAGATTGTGAGGATGACAGAGACTTGGATCTTTTTACTAAGGCATAGCTAACTCAATGACATCTAACAGTAATAACAATAGAATAGTATATGTAACAAATCCTTGCTTATAGTGATAAAAAAATTTGACTCCTGGTGGCCTTCGTAATGGTTTCCAAGGCCTGTATATCAGGTCTACCATTTAATTGTGACGTTAAGCAAATCCTTTTTAAGAGTCTGCATATGAAAAATGAAAAGAACAGTGCCTCGTAAGCCTGTGGTTAGGATTAACATCACACAGTGCAGTGCTTGGAAGCCCTGAGTGGTACAAATAAATGGCCAGTGTGCTCTGCTGCCAAGTGAAGGATTGGTGGTCCTAGTCCACTCAGAGGCACCTCAGAAGAAAGGCCTTGTGGTCTGCACCTGAAAAACCAGCCACTAGAGGCTCTGGAGAGCACAGCTCTGCTCTGACCCACATGGCGCCATCACATATGAGAACTGAGTGGAGGACATCTGCTACAGGCGACACCGGGCTTGGCTTCCAGTAAGCACTCAACACTTAGTTATTATTTGTAGTTCATAAAGAATGAAGAAGAGAGAATGGATAATTCTTAAAATCCTAATATGTACCAAGCAAGAGAGCCCTGATGTCAAAGTGCATGGGGAATTATGATGCTAACCCAAGGGCCAGTTGCCTTTGGCTATTCTAATCTGTCAGCAGCTCCAAGGGAGAAAGAAAGATGCTCTCTTCCCACATGATTTATAGCCTTGCAAACCTACTGGAGAATCAGCTATGAGTCAGAATAGATCTTGTAACACGCATCAACAGTCATGTGCAATATATTCCCATTTTGAAGGTGAAGAAACTGAAGCTTACAGATGTTATACAGTTTTTCTAAAGTCACAAAGAATGTGGCAGATTCAAGAATCTGATTTGAAATTCTGTTTGATTTCAAAGAGCAGCTCAAAAAGACAAAGTATTTTAAGGGAATGTGCAGAGACCTAAAATTGAAGAATATAAAGGGAAGAACTTGCTCAGTATTTCTGAAGCTAAAAAACCTGAAAATTAAATTTAAGCCTTGAGTTGCAATGCCTAGGAATGCTATGGGCAAAACCTTGAATGATCCATGAAGCATCAAAAGAAGATGAAGGGAATACACAGAATCAATATACCAAAAAGAACTGGCCAACATGGAAATATTTCAGGAAGTACCATCTGATCAGAGCCAGGAGTAATGAAGGAAGAACTTCAAGCTGCACTGAAGGCATTGGCAAAAAATAAGGCCCCAGTAATCAATGGGACACCAATAGACAGGTTTCAGTTAACAGAAACAGCCCTGGATATGTTTACCAGTCTATGTCAGGAAATCTGGAGGACAGCTGTCCGGGCAATTGACTGGAAGAAATCCATATTTGTTCCCATTCTCAAGAAAGGCGATTGAATAGAATGTTGAAATTTTATAACAGAATCATTAATATCACATGCAAGCAAAATAATGCTCTAGATCATTCAGAAATGACCAGAACAGTACATAGGCAGAAGACTATTATAAGTTCAAACAGTAGTTAGAAATGGCTGTGGCACTGGGGTTATCACTGCTGATGTCAGATGGATCCTGGCTGAAAGCAAAGAGTACCAGAAGAATGTCCATTTATGCTTTATTGACTATGCAGAGGAATTTGACCATGTGGATCATAACGAATTATGGGTAACAGTGAGAAGAATGGAAATCCCAGACCACTTAATTGTGCTCACCAAAATCTGTATCTAAAAGAGGTATGAACAGAATAAGGGAACACTGCATAATTTAAAATTAGGATAGTTGTGTCTCAAGGTTGTATCCTTTCTTCATACCTACATATTTCATCTGTGTGTTGAACAAATTTTTCAAGAATCTGGATTCAGTGAAGAAGAATGTGACATCAAGATTTGAGGAAGATTCAATAACCTTCATTATTCAGATGACACACCTTGCTTGCTGAAAGTGAAGAGGTTTGGAACACGTGTTACAGATCAAAGACTGTAAATTTCAATATCGGTTGTATCTCAACATCAAGAAAACAAAAATTCTCACACGGGACCTAAAGGCAACATTATGATAGATAAAGTCTGAAACTATTGACAACCTCACCTTACTTGGATCCACAATCAGTACACTTGGTACTAGTAGATAGATCAAGAGATGTATTGCACTGGGAAAGTGTGAAGTTAGGGACTTCTCCTAATCATTGAGAAGCAATGATTTAGTTTGAGGACTAAGGCACATCATTTTCAGGCCATAGTACTTTCAGTTACTTGCTGTGCTACTGAGAGCTGGGCAGTGAATAAAGATGATGGAAAAATTCATGCCTTTGAGCTATGGTGTTGGAGAAGAGTACTGAATATTCCATAAACTGCCAAAAACAACAAACAGATATGTCCTGGAGAATATGCAGCCAGAGTGCACCTTGGAGGCAAAGATAGTAAACCCTTGTCTCACATGTTCTGATCATGTTGCTAGGAGAGACTGTTCATTGGAAATGGACATCATGCTTGAGAACATGGAGGGATTGCAAAATAGAGGAAGACCCTCAAATAGGTGGATTGACACAGTAACTGCAGCAATGGGCTCAAGTATGTCAGAGATGGTGAGGATAGCACAGGATAGGGCAGGGTTCATGTCTGTTATTCATAGGGCGACTGTCAATTGTACTCAGTGGCACCTAATAACAACATGATTTCTGTTAATTGGTGCAGTGATTAAGTTCTTGGCTGCTAAGGAAAAGGTTGGAAGTTTGAACCCACCAGCTGCACTGTTCGGAAAAGAGTGACAGTCTACTTCTGTAAAGGTTGTAGTCTTAGAAACCATATGGGAAATTGCTTCTCTGCCCTGTTAGGTCACAATGACTTAAACTTTACACAACGGCAGTAGGTTATTTTGTTCTATTCTTTTTTCTGTGCCACACTAGAAGCATGCTAGATGCTGGATAATCATTTTAGATTATTCCTGTAACAGATATGCGAGCACAACATTTGACTTTAGGACTGTGTCCCTGCCCACACAAGGAGATCCCACTTCAACTTCAAGTTGGGCCACACAGATGAGTACAGTCAGGGTCAAATATTTACTACAGAAGGAGCGTTTTATGTGCTTACGTACTTGAACCAAGTATTCATTTAACGCCACAGGGCTCTGTGCTCAAGGCATGTGTCTTTGCTTTGGCCTGATGTTGGTAAGGGGATGTATTAACAATCAGCATGGCTCTGTCCAAGGAGGTGTCTGATGTGGTAACAGCATGTGAATGTCTGGGCCAGGAGAAGGTAAAATGTGCTGGCTGGCAGCATGAGATGACTTCCAGCATGGATTACATTATATTCTGCTTTAGTTGAGGATAATGTCTGTCAAGTAAAATTATTTCAATTTTGCAAATAGTTGCCGTTAAGTTCTTTTCCCAATAGTCATGAAGCAGTGGAATCCACTGGATTTTTTGTTGTTTGTTTTTTAAAGATTTCTCCTATTAATTATGAAAACCTATGCAAGTAAAGGTGTCTTTTTCTTTCTGTTGCCATTTAACTTTAAAAGAGGAGATACTAGAGAGCAGCCCTTCTTAGTTTAAATTGGAAATGGAATTTAAGACTTCTCCAAAGGCCATTTGTCAAGAGCTGGGCATGGGTTGCTAACTGTACATGTGGGATTTAAAATACATTCTCTCTGACTTTTCTGTATGTGTGAGATTTTCTATAATAATGTTTTTTTTTAAAAATCAACACCATTGACATTTACAAAGTTATTTCTATTTTGAATTCAACATTAATGCCACAGATACAAACTTTGTAATAGCTTCCAAAGTTTATATGGAAAAAAATGAATGGTACCCAATGTCTTAAAACTACTAAAGGCAACAAAAACAAACTTTGTGACCCCATATGACCCCATGTCAGATTTCCAAGGCTGTACATCTTTTTGGGAAGAGATTGCTTGTTTTTATCCTTTAGAACAACTAGTAGACTCAAACTACTTACCTTGTAGTTTGTTACAACATGTACCGTGTTATGCCCAGCAGAGCATTTATTACAGCAGTGGCATTTAAAAATCAATTTGCTGCCCTACAAGAGAAGCGGATAGTGTCAGAACTCCAGCTATATTCACTTCACTCTCACAGGAAGCACCACCTGGCTGCTTAGCACAACACTGGGACTTTCTGACCTT